GACGAAGAAAATGAACGATTGCTCGCGGGTCTATCTTATAGGCCAGAGAAGTGGGCATACTGAAATGGGTAGCTTCGTGTGTGCGTCCATGTACGTGTACGCTCTCCCATTTTCTTCGCCTGCCGCGGCGAGCCGTATGTCCCGCTTGCCGCGTCGCCGCGCTTTGATATGCCCATCTATTTTAATTAGTATCTCAAAATTTTACGTGGTTGTTTGAAAAATAATCTCTACAATATTTGTTCACTTTTATCTGTTCTACTTATATTTTTCTTCTTGGACGTCTTATGCGGGAGTATATATACACATACATGTGAATACTTAAATATTGCGTATTTACGTGTGGATCTGCTGGTTTGACAGAAAAATTAGGTCTTTCTTATTTAAGATGATGACTACTATTTTATATCAGATATGTCCAGTTATGATCCCTATACATGTGAAATGTTGGATTTACATTTTTCTGGTGCGTTTTTGAAATATTTTATAAAAAAGAAGCGTAAAAATAGAAAATATTCCAGATTTCGACGATTTCTTCATATTTCGGCCGTCATTTCCGATTCGCCATGATGTGTTTAAGGAAAATACCGACGGGGTTTGAAAGAACAAGAGCCAATGATATTATTCCATCAATTAGCGATGATCTTAGCAAGAATTCGAAATATTGAACTTTTAAAAAAATCTTGCATTTTTTTAAGAAAGTGAACTATAACTGTTTGGATCGCTTTATGGGTCAATTTTACCGACAGTATTTGAAAGAGGAGGATTTTAAACGATCGGAAATGTTATGGTTGAATTTATTTTTAGAAAGATGACATAATACGTGATAGGTTTGAAAGTTAAAAAAATGGACATTTGATCATTAAAGGATTAATCTGTTGGTTATTCCATCGGAATTGACCGATCACATCTATTAATTCTAACTAACGTGAAATGCGATTCGTCAATTTCGTTGGAATAACCCGCCAGTTATGTTAACCAGTGTTGATAGAAACGGGCATGAGAGAAATATAAGAATTCAATACACGATGCCTAACGCAGTCGGTAGTTAGTGAGATGTATACGTATAACGGTTTTCATTAATGTCTAATAACATTGACTCAAAAAGGTTCCATTAATATTTCATGGAATATTTCATATATATTAAATGGAATATTAAATATATTTTCCATACATCCCTAACGAAAATAAGAAATTTCATAAACGTTTGTTTAGCGTTTACGTAAGCGTTTGCGGGATTCGTTGAAAGTTTAGAAATTGTCAGTAGAGCGGAAATTGCAACATTGTAGCGTTTGCGTATTGGAAGAGCGTTTGCTGAACGAAAAGAAAACTCTTGTCTTACGACATTGGGAAGTGTTTTGTAAACGTTTTAAAAGTCTGACAGCAAACTCTCTACACAAAGATGTATCAGCGTTCACTGAGCGTACTTTGAAAAGCGTTATTTCAGCATTGCAAAACTTTCACGAAATGTTATACAGGATGTCCCATTTTAATCGATCACCTCAAATATCTCTTGAACAGTGCACTTGAGGAAAAAATGTTTCAGATAAAAGTTTTGGAATTTCGAGGGGGACATAAGATGATATCATTGGTTTGACCTCGAGTGGCGTCATCAAGCTCAGGAGAAAGCTTTAGAAGGTCACTTTGAATTTTTTAAATAGAACTCCCCATTTTTTATTACATATATATATATATATATATATATATATGATTAATATATAACATATATATATATATATATATATGATTAATATATAACATATATATATATATATGATTTTGGAATCTTTAATTGTATTATGAATCGATACTATTCGTACGGTTACAGACATTAAAGTATACGAATATAAAATACTACATTTAAAGTATTAATATTAATTTTAATAATTATTAAATAATAATTTGTTTATTCCACATATGTTTATATATTGCAATATTTTGTAAAAAAGAGAAAAAATTAAAGAGTTAGAACTGAAACATGCAACGCGCAGCGTTCTAGTTCTACGCCTTATCCGCTACGCTACGCTGCTCTCTGCTAAACCCTTTCGCTAATTTAGTATAGAAGTCACATGAGAAACTTTCAATGCAAATTTCTCACGAATGCTTGAGTATTGCATTGTGCCACTTGTTATGTTGTTGCATCGTCCTACGGATTAGTGGGAGGTTAGTACTAAAACATATCTGAAGTTGAACGAAATCCGTGAGTGCACTACCTGGCTCTCCCCTTGTAAGTATAACGATGAATGAGAAGCAGTTGCAGATTCTTCATTTGCTGTAATACAACAATACTAATAAAATATTGAAAACGTATTTAAATCACTGGTACGATACATAATATTCGAAGTTTAACTTGTTGCCAAATAAAAACCAGTCAATCAAATTCAATGAAACTTGAAAAATAACTAGCTTAATATACGAAACGTAGATGATGATAAAACTTCCAGAAAAACTCATCTCCGGAATCGACTTTTGGCCACTTTTTGAGGTCTGCCGGCCCATTGTGTGGTGTCTTGAAATCGAGACAAAAATTCTGTCCGTTTGAGCGTTAATGGTTTAAATAACTTACATCCGGATAATACGAAATAGATAACAACATATAACTTATCTAAGATCCGAACATTTAAAACAAGACCCGATATACGTCAGAGCCTATTTCACATCAAATAAATAGATAATAGCGCAAATAGTGAAAAAAAATAAAACGAATCATATATGAGGTCTATACAGTAGATATTAAAATTTGAATTAGATACATTGATTAACTACCATCTCGTATAGGGGAACCAGCAGATGACAGAAAAGAAACCGATGAGAGTTAGGACGAGTTTCCAAATAACGCAAGTCGTACTGGCAGCAAATGCAGAGCAAGTAGAGTAGAAATAATCAAAAGAGGCTCCTGAAATTGAAGAGGAAATCCGAAAATCCACTCATATAAAGATTGTACTACACAATAGTATGGAGATTACCATACACATAATTTAGAGAGAGAGAAATGTTATACAGGGTGTCCCATTTTAAATGCCCCGGGCAAAAATCTCGAAAAATATGGAAGATACGGAAAAATATTTCCAACAAATGTTGCATGGTTTGAAGGAGGCCATATGATGAAAATATCGACTTGACCTTGACTGACTTTTTCAAGGTCAATGTGATCGATGTTTTCTTAAATGGAACATGTTTTTATTGCACATTTTTGTAGCTCTTGTCAAGACGTTTTTAAAACACTACCTACTTTGTCTTTTGCCCAAGCCATTCCCAAAATATGAAGCTTCAAAGTTGACATACCGCCGGCAATCGCATTACTCGACATATACAGCAGGCAGGTTGCTTGGTCGGATTTGTACATCATAGTGGCCCTGTTTAATACCTACACACACATACACAGCAGAAAGAATTTGGAGTCATACTCGGGAGTCATATATGGGAGAGACAAACTGTGGGGTCCTTATTTCTGCTGATACACACATGTGCGCGCGCACGCGCGCACACACACACACACACACACAAAATTGGCCCTTTTTGGAGCCACTATGATGTACAAATCCGACCGAGCAACCTCTCCGCGGTATACATCAGATAATGCGAATGCCGGTAGTATATCAAATTTGAAGCTTCATATTTTAGGAATGGCTTGGGCAAAAGACAAAAGTAGGTAGTGTTTTGAAAACGTCTCGACAAGAGCTACAAGATATGCAATAAAAAAAGGTTCCATTTAAGAAAACATCGATCACATTGATCTGGCCTTGAAAAGGTAATTCAAAGTCAAGTCGATATTTTCATCATGTGGCCCTCTTCAAACCTTGCAACTTTTGTCGGAAATATTTTTCCGTATCTTCCATATTTTTCGAGATTTTTGCCTGCGGCATTTAAATTGGGACAACCTGTATATACCGACCGAAATAATGGACGATCAGATGCGAGATGACGTTATGAGCGGAAGCGGCGTGCTATGAGACGACGAAAAGAAGACAGTACTCTCTTAAAATAAATTAGTCAAACATCACTGTAAATAGTGAATATATTCTGATTACAGTTATAAGTATAGCACTGAAAGTACTCAGTGCTATACTCATAACTGATATCAGTAACTATTCACTGATTTACTTTAAAAGAGTACGGATGGGCCTCCCATCACAAACATAATGGCGAACATATACAACTTACATTGTAGGTTGTACAATTGAATAACATGTAATTTTCATAATAAATATTAGTATATCGTATACGCGTTGGCGTTTTTGGATCCTTTCGAATACACTACAGGAAACAACGCAATTTTTAGTTAAATTCAATAAATGTCACGATATTTAATATTTCAAAATATATGATTTCTTTTCAATATTGTTTTTAATATTCCTTATATTTCATAATACTTTATTTTATTTCATTTTATAGCATTCGACAATAAAAGCAGTTTAATAAATACTGCGTTGCGCTACCAATAACTTTGCAACTGTTATTAGATTCTTTATTAAATGACACTAGTAGTTCATGCTTTTCCATGTTTATTAAACGATCACTATTTTTTTTAACATATTTTAATGTTGGACCGCTTAATATACATGAAAAGGCGTAAACTGTTAATTATTATTTTTCTGAGCAATCGTTCAAAATTATGGTCCATATAAAATATCTTCAGTCATTTTTTAATTATTTTATATTTTCAATGATTTTACAGTATTTTCAGCAAAATATTTCCATCAGTAGTTTTTGTTTAAAATAATGGATATAAAACAATAACTTACATAATATTTAGTTTGAATTTCAATCTAAATCAGTGTGAATCAATAATACAATTATTGGTTTACATTGATATTAAGCAGAGTTTATAATTTCTCATTTAGAATTGTAAACGTAATGTAACGAATATTATATATAACAGTTATATTCTTGAGTGAGAAATGTTCATATAACATTGATATAACATTACTATTAGTTAGCGTTTACTAAGTAAAATTTATAAAATTTACATAAAGTTAAACGGTTCTTTGTTACTTTTGTAGGCGAGACAATTGTTAGAGATGGAATTTTCAAATCTGCTAACGGTAGCGACAGAGAGGCGGCTAGACGAGAATAATAGTATGAAATCCTGATCCAGCTCATCAAGCAGGCTGCCTCATATTCAACCACATCATGTCTAGTCCAAAATCCCAGCTATCGCTACTATTTATGCGCAGGTGTGTTGTAAAAGTTGTAAAAGCTTTAAATATCACGCTATGAGTACCCTCATATTGTTATGACAAACGTGACATATATGCTGGAGTGTATTTCGACATAAAATCTGTTGAGATAAACTTACGATACATATGAAAAGAAGAATAGAGTAGGTAATTCATTCAATTTTTATGTCACACGCGCCTAAATTGATGCGCCGTGTGTCGCATTGACGAGAAGAAATAGAAAAATAGTTATTTCAGATAGTTTTCATATAGATATCGGAATGTAGTAGGCAGTCATTGGATTATACAAATAAAAAAGAAATACGCGATGATGTATAATATAGCACTCTTCTTAAAAAACCGTAGTATCAGTTACAGAAGATTAACGACAATAATTCTCCTTGAGTTAGCTTAATTTGTTTGTAAAGGTGTTTATATAATCTGTAACCTCAGTATTATGACGTCGCGCAGTAGTACATTTGTTATACGACTACTGATATCACGTTCGCATACGATAAACGTGTACTTATATTGTTAAATACTTAAGGCAACGTAAGCTAAATACTCTTTACCGCACAAAGACGTAGTAAAAAAGAAAAATAAATGGTCTACAAGAGATATCGTTACTTTTGTGAAAGTTGTATATGGAAAGTATCCTGTGACTGGCGATACAGTTAGGAAAATAATGTAATTCTTTTGTGAAAGGGTGTAGAATAATTGTATAATAATCTACTTCTGTTTTCTCCGCACCAGTTATAGGATATCTTGTATATTGTATTCCGAAAAGACTGCGTCCTATGTTTCCGTATCTATAAATCGCGACCTAAAAGCCGTGCAAACGAAATACGTACCGTGTTAATTTCCACGGATACAGAGTTCCAGAATATTCGTTCCTCTCGGTTATTCTGACGAGACTCGAGAATTTGTATTTCTAATTCCCATATATTACACGGCGCGTAATATATTGTATAGTATTATACAACATATTTATATATTGTGAAATTATATGCTGAAAGCGCGAAATAAGTTGTTTGGACGAGGTTTAGACGCGCGCTCGCTTTTTATTTACTATAAGATGACTAAAAATGGACATTTTATATCGAATATTTGCGCGATGTACAAGTGTACAATGTGTGTGTTAGTAGATGCGTTATGAAATTAAATAACTCGATTATATTTTGTAAACGCAGCTGCCGACCAATTTTGATAACTTTCGTTATAGTACTCATTAAATCTGCTTATTTTGCGAGCACAGTGACGTTTATCTGTTATCGTGGTATCATCGGTATCTCATTGTTGTCTCACTATTGTGTTATAGACAGTTGTTTCATATACAAGAGAGAAAAAGAGAGAATGCGCAGATATTTCGAAATTATCTCTTTTAAACATAATTATAGCTAATTGTTAATAGACACGGTCGGTAGCAAAATAATGAAAAAATGTGTAATATACTTACAAAAGAGGGAAAGTTGATTAAAGCAACAATTAAGACCATAGCCTGTAGTGTGGCTAACATAAATGTAATGAAAAATTAAAAACAATGTTGCTGAAGACAATGATCGTGACGGTAATTATCATTGCCAATCAATTATACAAACATTATATAAAGCTAAAGGTGCGGTGAAAGACTGAGACATTGATGATTGTAGTACGAACTGATCGAGGTAAAAAAGGAAAAAAGAGAAAAGAGATCACAATAATGACGATAAGTTATAACACTGATATTGTTAATGTTGTTGATACTTGAGGAATCATTGTTGTTGATGTTTGTTTCCCCGTAAATATTATACTCTTCTCGCAAACTGTTTATTCATCGTAGGCTCCCATGGCTCCGCAAGACCTTCCGAATGGGCGTAAATGTACCAAATAGTTTTTACCAAAGACTTTATTGAGTGATGTGTATTGATATATCAATGTTACGCAAGACAAGGCAGGCCAACAACGTCGGTGCTTCAGATACGAATAACACATCAATCAAAATACACACGCATTCATAAAAAGAATTTGTGCTAGATAGATGCGTAGACACGTTTTCAATACGTGTCGTTTTTTTCATCAATTTAAATTGGAACGCATTTATAAATAATTGGAAGTACATTATTCCAAAGCAGCGTTCTTACTACCTCAATTTTGAAGTGCGATGATACATTTTTTTGCAGATACGTCACGTTCATTCATCAATAATCTGTCTATTCGTCATATTTTGCGCATCGTAAATTGTAACTTACGAACGTAAATTATATGCGGATGGTTCAATGATTTGCGCGCAACTACAGTAAATTACTTCAAAACACAAAGCAGGAATAAAACGCACGTATTTATTCGCTTGTTATGTATAGTAAAAATAACATGTAGTTATAAAACTTTATACATGTAAAAGAAAGTTTTATTTTCCGCACCAATAATGAATCTAAATATGCGTGAAACGTTAGCTCAAATATTCCTGATTTCGAAGGTTTTTTATCTTCTTTATAATGATTAGTAAAAATTGATAGAAAGTTATGTGTATATAATGTGTTTGTATACATAAAAGTGCGTATATACAGAAGTAGTTGTCCATATATTATGGAAGACGACGCCGTCTCTCCCCTTCGGAAGAGTCTACAGTAATTTGTAAATGACTGAATATTATTTTTAACGTGTGCTAGATACTAGCGTCTATACGGACATTCCAAAAAGACCTTCTAAAAAAGGGAAAGAAAAAATAAAGAAAAAGAGAAAAAGAACACTCGTAACCCGTATATGCACGTCATGAATTAGTATGTAGCAGCTTCTCGACACGCCCTATGTATCTAAATATAAATGTACACATAAATAGGAAAAAACATTACAAAGTCCAGTTTTCAACGATCGGTATTTAATATATCGATGATATACAAAACATTCATTCACAAGTATAATGATGATGAGTATGTGTGCAATGTTTTTCTTTGAAAAAGAATGTCGTTTTCTAATTTTGCATTGTCTTTTTCAACCTTTTTATTGATCTTGCGCTACATAAATTCAGAAATTAATTTGAATATATCTGTACGATTTTATAATTTTGCTTATAACTCAATATTAATTTTTATTTCAAAAACACATTAGAAAATGTTTCATTGTTATGTTGAAATTAAATATTGACTTGTAATCGATATGTTACTTATACGTTTAAAAAATACGATTGTTGTAAACGAGTCACACGTAATTCCCAACAGCGTTATACACAGAGTGACTAACGATAGATACGATAGTCACTTTTATCATTTTGCAAACAACCACATAAAATTGTGAGATATTAATTAAAGAAGATTGGTGATTTTGCTCGTGTACAATATGGTGGTCGAGATTTATAGAGTTGATGCCTTAATCTTTGCGCCATTCGCCAATCGATAATCAACAAAGGTCGGAGTAATGATTATAGCTCGCAATATTACTCCGTTCTTTGTTTTTTGCGTGATTATTGGCTAATTTTTAATTAATTACTCAGAATTTTATGTGGTTTGCAAAATGATAAAAAGCTTCCTTGTTTAGTTTAAACTAATCTACAAGCATACGACGAATATCGTATCTAATATCAGGTTACTCTTTATATGTTAAGCATTCATATTTTGATTCTGTGTAGAGCATAGATTTATACAGGGTGTCTGACGGTAATGTACAGCGTGTCTGATATAAAATAGGCCAATGCATGTGTGCAGGTAAAACTTCAAAAAATACCTAACAAAAATACTAAGTAAAAAATACTTTACTGTTTTCTAAATTACATAAAATTTCGAGTAATTAATAAAAAAAGAAAAAAAATTGGTAAATCAATGCATTTGATGCTGTGGAAGGAGCTCTATAGACGCGAGCTCATCGAAAATGATTGAGAAACGATTGCTTCTAAATGCCAGTTGAAATTGGCTGATACCTAAAGGCGGAGCAATGGCGCGTAGATAATTGTTTTTCGATGTTGATAATTGTTATTACCAGTGTGTCGTACATATGGCTAAGAAACGGACTATTTAGGTTATTTTTACGCGATTGATTTATGACCAATACCTATATTTGCTGCCGGCATTGATTACTATATTTTTAGACACGCTCGGTCTTTACATTTTAGCTTCGGTCAAATACGCGTTGGCAGCCTGGAAGTTGAGTACGTTGGTCTACATACGTCTAATAGAAACCGAACTGTTTCATTGCATCCGATTGTATATGCACATCATGGATGTCACCGTCATATACCTTGTATACATAGACTGAGCGCTCCATAAGAGGCTGTGACGACTTAACTAAAAAAGTGTGTCCTGTTAGTGCAGGCATTCAATCTTTGTCTAACTTTACTATTATTGGATACTTTGTTTAGCTTTTTTTAATAGAATTCAAGTCAGACGAAAGTTGAACGTCTATGGACAATGCTGCAAGACGGATAGATTCTGAGCATGTGCGGCAATTAAAGCTTCAAAGAAGTATCTAAAATGGATAAAATGGGATACTATTATAAATGAATGAGGAGATTTTTTTAACTGTTCTTAACCAATTTTTTTTAAATATGTGCTTTTATATACGCTTTTGTACATATACATAATTATGTAATATATCCTATATGTAATAATTTAATGTACTTTTTAATATATTTAGTCTATAACCTTGCCGCTTGTTTGTCGACTACATCTCGCTAAACTAACATTCGTATATTCACGTGTACGTTACTGAATTCTTCATTATTTCGTCGCGCATGTGTAAACAGTCTATTCCGTCTTGTAACACTACCTGTAGTAATGAAAGTGAATATAACTGTTTTTTTAAATCTCTTCAAACCTCTCATAAGGAGACGCAGTCTATGTACATAATTCTATGTAAAGAAGTTGTAGAGAAGATGAAGAGTTGACATGTGATGAAGAGAGCATACAATCTTTGAGTGACTCTCTTTTTTCAACTAATTAATAACCTCCATTATTGTATGCACGCTGTCAAAAAAATATGTCAAGACAAAGCAGGAGAAGCGGTGAGGGTTAAACAATTTTTAAATAAATGTAATTATAAATTATATGAGATGAAAACATTTAGTTACTTTTGTTACTAAATGATTTAAATTAGGATTAGAATGAGATCAATTTCTACAATAAAAGATAAGTTTATTTAATATTATTCATAAACACACACACGCACGCACACACACCATGTATATTTAAAAGACGTTTCTTGTTTGAGACATTACACAAAGATATCTTTAAGACATTATGCAAAGATACACACACACACACACACACACACACACACAGGGTGAGTCATTTTATTCGAACCAGGCAAATATCTCGAAAAATATGGAAGATACGGAAAAATATTTCAAACAAAAGTTGTATGATTCGGAAGGGGACTTAAGATGGTAATTGGCTTGACCCTGGATAGTCGTTTAAAAATCACGTGAAGGTTACCTTCAATTTATTAAATAGAAACCTCTATTTTTCATTACATATTCTTATATCTCACCTCGAAAGCTTTCCAAAACACTATGATAAAATATTTTTTCATTAAATATCTTTCGAGTTAAAAGCAATGCTTTGTCGGGGCCACAAAGAAGCACATGTGTGAAATCCCATTAATAAATTTCTTTCATAATCATAGCATTGCGATCTTCATATGATCCTTTAGAATCAATTGGACTTCACATGTTACCCCATGATTTTAAATTATTATTTTTGTTTTCGCTGTAAAATTTGAAGAAATGAAAATATTAGGAATAGCCTCCAATCGCCTTGACCTTGACAAATGTTGTTAAGGTCATGGCCCTGAACAACATTCAAAAGGTTTCAGCCGTCGGTCGAACACCTTGGGTACCAATGCTAATGGCAACAATATTGTAACTTTGAAGCTTTTTAACTAGAAAGATACTTAATGAAAAAATATTTTATTATAGTGTTTTGGGAAGCTCTTGAGGTAAGCTATAAGAATATGCAATGAAAAATGGAGGTTTCCATTTAAGAAATTGAAGGTGACCTTCACGTGACTTTCAAACGACTATCCAGGGTCAAGCCAATTGCACCATCTCATGTCCACTTCCAAACCATACAACTTTTGTTTGAAATATTTTTCCGTATCTTCCATATTTTTCGAGATATTTGTCTGGTTC